TTCGAACCCGCGACCCTCAGATTGCGAGTCGAGCGCCCTAACCAACTGGCCACGTACCACATTTAAACAACTTTCCGCAAAATGAAAATACATATTTAATTAAAAACACTCGTGTAATAACTGGGTGAATAGTGGTTTCAAGAGGTAAAAAAAATCAAATGTTTATTAATCTTATCATTGAAAAAAAAAACCTTCACTAAATACGTAATATTTCATCTCTGACTTAATTAAATTAATAATTAACTTAACGTTCTATTAATATATTACTGGACTGGTAAACATGCTACTTTACTTATATAACTATTTAATATATTTTCATGGTAAAATACTTTGCAAAGGAATAATTAATTTTTTTTTTCTGAACATTTTTTCCTATCTTACTCGATTATATATAAGCCAAGTCCTTATTCAAGCAGAAACCTCATTCAAAACTAATCTAAACATTTAAGTATTGTTAAGGTAAGTTACCATAGATACCTGTGACGTCACTGATCTCCACTTTATTAACTTTTGCATTCTATATATTTTATGTTCATTCTCTATTCACCTCGAAATAAAAGGGTCTGCCTTCCGAAAACCTCTTTGTTATTAGGTTTCTTGTTTTATAAAATATGTATACTACCATACGACTCAAATTAAAGAACCTTAAATGTTTTCATTTTCATAAAAATCTGAAAACAATGTTTCACCGAAACTATAGATTTTTGAATCGTTTATATTACGTTGCAATATAATAATGCATGCTTACAATTGTAAATTGTATTACGTTAGGTAGTTTCTCAAGTTGTCGCGAAAACTTATTGAAAGTTAACTATCTTACTATAATGTATAATGTAGCATGTATGTATATATATATATATGTATGTGACCCAAATAATAAATACAATGTGGCGTCATCTATTGAATGGCAACACAAACAAAAATCCATAGAAAACTTTTACCCTTTGGGTATTCAAAATTCAGACAATTGGAAAAAAAGATCCATTTCTTTGTCATAGAACACAATTTTACATAAAATTATTCTCTTCACAACAAGAACACGATTTTCACTAGGACTGTACGTGAGTGTTTGATTATATTTTTATTGGTGTAATTTGTAAATATTGTACTAAAAATGGGGTTTTTAAAAAATGCTCTTGTTTCTTTAATACAGTGTACCACTTTTAATATACAAAAATATTACAATTTATGTCAGCATAATCCGAACACTTTCCCTGAACAGTACTTTCCAGAAAATGTTCACTTTTTTCTAAATTTATTTCAATGATGTATGAATACTACGATTAGTAATAACTAGCACAAACAACCGCCCGTAGGTCGGCGTTTCTGCTAGTATATGTAAGATCGCGACAATCACGCTGAATCAGACAAGCCCCCCAGTGGCACAGCGGTATGTCTGCGGACTTACAACGCTAGCCGTTTAGCAAACGTGTGAATAAGACTGAAATTCTAATTGAGATAGTCTGGCATAGCCTGGTGGTTAGGGAACTGGACTCGTATTTAGGGAGTCGCGGGATCGAATCCCGGTCTCGAACATGTTCAGCCTTTCAGCAGCGAATACGTTATAATGTGACAGTTAATTCCACTATTCGTTGACACAGAGCAACCCAAGAATTGGCGGTGAGTGGTGTTGACTAGCTACCTTCCTCTTGTTTATTACTCAAAAATGAGGGACGAGTAGTGCAGGTAGCTCTCGAAGTAGCTTTGCGCGAAATCTAATTCGATAGAAAGATAAGTATATCGCCTCTTCTAATTAATGAAGAAAATATTTGTGTTCGTCTCCTACCAATTAATCCCACAATAATATATATATATATAAGGCTTAGCAGGTTTTGTTATCCGATATTGGATATCTTTACTTGGAATTCTTTGTTAGCAAGAACTCTTGATCTTCTTTACTGAAATTACACACTACACTGACCCTAAACAAGAAAACCATCAACGAAACGCGAACCAAGAATAAAAACAACCTTTATAGTTGTTTTAGGACTTATAATAAACAAGTAGATGGTTATGCTTTTAACGAGTTAAGAAAATATGTTAAATAGCATTGCTAGATTATATTAACAAGTGTAGAAAAACTTATTTGGGTGTGTGTGCGTTTATTTACAAAGCTATACAACGGATATCTGTGTTCTGCCCACCACGGGTATCGAAACCCGATTTCTAGCGTTGGAAGTCCGCAGACATACCGCTGTGCCACTGGGGGAGGGGCACCACCTTTGTTATTTTGTCATCAAGTATACTATGGAAGTAAGATTTATTTCCACATATAAACCTAATTTTCTGAGAATATGTTATAGTGTTGAATTGTGTTAATAAATACTGCTTTACTTTGTTGTAGAATGTGATTAAATGTCAAACACTACTATTTTCCAATCACAAATATATAAATCTTGTTGTAATTATGTTTTCTATCAGCATAACATGAAGTAACCGCTTGGCAGTCTGTAGTATTTCAGTAATTATGCATACAAAGAAAACGACTCCAATATTGAAATCGAAAAGAATGAGGAGCTACGAATACAAAGACATAAATGCTACAGATGTTTAAATACACACACACATATACTCTGATGCTACAGATGTTTAAATACACACACACATATATACTCTGATGCTACAGATGTTTAAATACACACACACACATATACTTTGATGCTACAGATGTTTAAATACACACACACATACTCTGATGCTACAGATGTTTAAATACACACACACATATATACTCTTGTGCTACAGATGTTTAAATACACACACACATATACTCTGATGCTACAGATGTTTAAATACACACACACATATACTCTGATGCTACAGATGTTTAAATACACACACACACATATATACTCTTGTGCTACAGATGTTTAAATACACACACACATATACTCTGATGCTACAGATGTTTAAATACACACACACACACACATACTCTGATGCTACAGATGTTTAAACACACACATATACTCTTGTGCTACAGATGTTTAAATACACACACACATATCATTTGCATTATCGTGTATTCACGCGATTTGAAGAAATTGAATTTGTAAATGCTACTAACAGTATTATTAAATGTCGTCCACCTAACTGCACGTTTTATGATGAAACATAAACAACAGAGCTTTTAGTATATCTTAACAATACGATAACACATCCGTTACATTTCAGCCTTAGTTCATTTAAAATTGCATTACAACATTTAAGGAACAGTTTAGTGGATTTTCCTGTTGTTTTTCTTAAACCAAGAAATGTTTTGTATTAATATTATTAATGAAAGAGAATATGACCAATACATCATTTCATTTATACCCCAAGTTGCTCTTTCTTATTCTATAGAATTCGGAGTAGCTTACTGTTTAGCCTGGCAGCCTGTAAAAAATCCAAAGTTTGTGCCCCTTGACACGTTTTGCACTTTCATCTGTGTTTTTAATCTGGCTATTCGGTCTATGTGTTGCATAAGAGGCTAGTTCCCGGTGGATCATCTATTTCGGGGTTTATAACACTAAAATTCAAGGCTCGATTCCCTCGGCGGATGCATCACATTGTGTAGTTTTGCACCAAAACCCAACAGTAAGCTTATAAAGTGCCTTTAGTTTGGAAATACTAAATATCAAATATCGTATAAGCTTAATCACGAGTATTGGGTTTGACCTTTACTCGTTCTCTCCAATAAATGCCATGTTGTGGACCATCGATAGAAATAGAATGATGAATTCTATCTCTGCGTTACTTAAGTCATATTTTATCATGTTAAAGATAATATATTTTTTTCTAATCAGTTCTGTTAAATTGTTGCACTATTTATATATATTTATAGTGTTGACTCGGGGATAACTTTTAAATACTCAAATTATGAGCTACTGTATATTAAAACGCTGCGTGCTGACACACACATTCCTTTCCGTCTAAAGATGCCCCCCAGTGGCACAGTGGTATGTCTGCGGACTTACAAAGCTAGAAACCGGGTTTCGATACCCGTGGTGGGCAGAGCACAGATAGCCCATTGTGTAGCTTTGTGCATAAATTCAAACAAACAGTCTAAATATAAAACAAGATAATCACAAAAGAACAATTCTTGTATAAAGCTCACTAAAACGTAATGAAACTATTATATTATTTTGTATAAAGCTCACTAAAACGTAATGAAACTATTATATTATTTTGTATAAAGCTCACATAAACGTAATGAAACTATTATATTATTTTGACAGGTGTCTACAATAGAAGTATTTAACTTTTACTTCCGTATATTTTTACTTCCGTTGATGGTATAAGCTCCAATGTAGATATCTTATTCGTGAATGTAGAAATATGTAACAAGCAATTAATTCAGGTTGGAATTAAATCATTTGAAATGTAATGACTGAGAGAACATCAAAACTCTGTGGACACGTAGGTATTGTTATACTTTATTTCTTCTATATTTGAGTAAAAGCACACAAATTACAAACATAATACAATACAGTAGACCTAATACAGTTTTTGACCTATTTTTGGTCTGTAACTCCTAAGCTTGTCAGAAATGTAGAGCTGAGATTAGCGACATCAGATGGGAAGTACGTACAATATATTTCTCCAAGTTTTCTCTTTACTATAATCACTTCTACCTAAATTAGTATCATAATGGTACATCGAAATTGTCTAGTAAAAATACAAACTCCATTTTATTATGCTTCTTCACTTTTCGTCTACTACTCCTGGATTTAGCATCACAAACGTCTTAATGATGTCATATGGTGGAAAACATAAACAATGTTATAGACTAATAGAACTGTCCTTTATTATAGCCCTTCATTTTCTTTCTTTTCTTTTTTTTTCTGCAGGTCGGCATCACGAATGATGAGGCAATAAAATATTAACCAATCGAATCTCTCCTTTATTATGGCCCTACACTTTGTTTTCTTCTCCCTGAATTATTATGACGAACGGCTGAATGGAGACGTGTGATCGGAAACACAGACAATATAATAAAGACTAATCAGATCTCTTCCTTATTACAACCCTACAGTTTCTTCTATTCTCCCTATATTAGTGTCATGAAGATGCGATTGGCGACGTCTGGTGGACTGAAATCTTATCCAAACACTGCGATCTGTACCGGACGTGAAAGTTTGGGTTCGCTGTAGTTTTTGTTTGCAGAATATCAAAAATAGTGTTTGCTTAAATTTATGGCCATAGATACAGTATATGATGAAGTTAACAGAAGAATTGAGCGTCACTAAGAGATTAGACAAATTAGCCAAAGAGCCCCAATAAACGTCAAAATATTCCAAAATGTTCACTATAAACGCTGTAACGTTGCAGATAAGAAATACAACTACAACACAAAGCAACATGGTGGCCAAGCTGATCTCTTTCTGCTGCCTAAGGCTAAGTTTCTGGCGATACCTATTTGCTTGCTTCACTGTACGCCAAATGAAGGTGTTCAGAATGACCAAAGTAAAAAGTGGAATAAAATACATCATCAGCAAATACATCCAAATGTAATAAATTTCAAAGTAGAGTTTGTTTTCTCGAAAAGTCGACGGTTGAATGTTATATACTGTTGAATTTGTAACAGGATCCAATATCTCTCTTCTCTGAATTTCCCAAAAGCGAGGAATATTGTAACACACTGCAAACGTAGTCACGATAATAATGTAAAACCTCGAACGCTTATATGTAAAAATCGACCTAGCTTGAAGCGGATGACAAACTGCAACGTATCTTTCAACGGTTACAATGACCGTCATCCACACTGATCCGGTCTGAGCAATCAACGCTATTGGGTAGATCACAGGCACGATAAAGGGAAAAACGACCCAAGTATAAAAACGCAACCAATGCACTACTTTACCTAACGTTGTTAGGCCTAACATAACCAAAGCACATACCAGTACACCTGTATCAAAAATGGCTAGGCCTTGCAGGCTACAGTTGATTGATGAATGCATTTGTGGTCGAGATAACACAAGTAGAGATATCATGTTACCAACTGTTCCTAAAACACTCAAAGTTGTAATGCCCACTCCGGTGGATATTAATTCAAAGTTCGATATTGGAGCCTCTGGGCCTTTATCTTCACTAGGTATCAGTATTGTTTCGTTCATTTTATCAAATGTTTGACTCATTGCCTAAGTTGAGTTTGAATCATTCAATTCTCTCACCAAGAGACATAATCAAATAATTTAGAAAAGTGGTTTATGCTTGCTTTATCAGAATGTACTATGCTTATGATGTGATATCGAAATTATATTTCTTTAAATAGAATAACTAAGGATACATTTTAATACTAGAATAATATATATAAATAGTTTTATTAGCCAATACTCAATAATCGAACTTAGTGTTTTAAACTAATTCATAAGTATGTTATTTTTTAAATAACTATAAAAGTCCACGACTGATAATCCTTCCTTTTAATAATAAGTAACAATTATAATAATTAACAATTGTAATTTCGAAATATTTAAGTCATCGATTGCAGGGTGTTTTTAATTTTTTTCATGATGAAATATCAAAGTAAGAAATCCTCAACGATCATTTTTTAACACAAGAATTCGAGTTAATTTTCATTTGTTATAACTTTTGTTATAACTGTCACTTAATAAACTAACTAAACGTTCTTTTTTCGAGCTAGATATATATATATATATATATTGCCAGATCTTTCGTGTTCATTACGTCGTATACTGAAGGTGTTCCAATCTTGATTGGAAACTTAATGACCAAACCATTTGAAATGCTTACAGGAGGAACGTACTTACGTGTTCGCAGACATAGGTTTCAAAATTTCTTTTTTAAGATGTTCGGCAGTTAATAAAAAAGAAAAATTTAGGTATCGTGAGAAGAAATGAAATATGTTCAAAACACAATAAAACTTGGCCCTGTATGGAGCAAAGTAACCCTTATCTTCTTTTAGATCTGCATCCTCACTGTTATCAAGAAGTATCTTGGTCGATCAAGAATGTCAAATAAACCTAAATGGAGTCCCAGCTGGACATAAGTGTTGACTTGCGAAGAGTTCACTCTTTCTTAGGCTTGTAACAGGTACGTCGATTGACAGTTATATAAAATTCAGTTTGTTTGTTTTTTTTATCTGCGATAACTGATTTCAAACATTCTTTTCTTTTCGTATTTAGAATTTTTATTACTCTTCGTTGCTTTTAAATTCAAACAGTAAAAATTCGTCAAAACAATAGCTAACACCTTCAGTGTGGTCTGGCATTCCTGTCGGCAGAATCAGGAACACTGAAGAATGAAGATGTGAACCAGCACGTCAAGCAGGTACAGAAGCTCTTGTATTACCTCTCAAACTCCCACACGTCCGTCATCATCAGCGCATGCGCTGTTCGAATCCGAGTTCTTGATGCAACAGAGCGTTATTTAAGGTAAGTAAAACGCTCTAAGTTTGTTTATTATTGAATAGATAAGTATTCTCATAAATATTTATATATATATAGTCATATGTTCATAGTTTACACAATAATTTCATAACACAAAAAAGTCAATGCTTTGCTTTAAAGCTGTGTTTGTTTTTGCAGTACTTTTACATCAAAGTGTTGATTTATAGTACTTATTAAGTGCATCATCTGATTTCAAGGATGCTAACTACGTAGATCATAGCCAAGATAATTTAGCAAATAATTTATGTAATAATGAATACAGTCTCATATAAGACACTGATTAGAAATGGTATCAATTTCAACAGAAAAAACTATAACTTGTAATAATTACCTTTCACATCAGTCATCACTGGTACCATCACTGTTACAGAACTTCAAAATACACTAATACGATCTTAAATGAAACAACTAAAAAACGTAGACAATTTTTAATAAGCGTTTTAAAACAGAGATCTTCCCTATTAACGTCAACTGAATCCTTCCATACTGTATAAGCCTTTTTTCTTTTGTAGATTTTAAAATAAATATTTTCAAACTTGAAAAGCATTTTTTAAATTAAACAAATTTGAGCGATTTATGAAACATCTAATATTCATTTATAATGTTGTTCCTTTTTGTCAAATATATGTACTTCTGTTTTTAGTAACTTAGATTATAAAAGTATGACTTCAAATTACATAAATTTATGTTTTAACATTGAAGTACACGCGTTTTACTCAAACAAAATACATGATAGAACATCGTGTAGTTCTTCTCGTGTTTAAAGTCATGGTTTGACTTGATTGACATGAATTGCGGATTTGCAGGAGAAACACAAAGTTACATAATGGGTTGTGGCCATTGCAGGTATCCGATTTTTAGCGTTATAAGCCCTCAATATTAAGGTTGATCCAGGGGGCGCACTGTCACTAAAAGGTATAGAAAATTATACATAAATTAAACAAAAACTCATGGGAATTTTTTAATTCTGGTAATCACTTATTCTTAAACCTAATCTGTTTAAAGTGTAACAAGCTCAAGTCTAAAACTTGTATACTAATTCGTCATGACTGTGTGAATTTACAAACACACAATTATCTAATAGAAAACAAACAGGTACCAACGTATCGATTTACCTGAAACCGTTAACATATTATCAAGTGAGTATTATCAAAAGAAATGCATTTATTCTTAAAAAAAAACAAAGTAGTTTCATTCAAAACGTGATTGAAATATCTTCTATTTGAACATCATTCAGTGTTCTTTTTTTTCTAAAGAAGGGGGTGTAAAAGTGTAAAACATCTTGATTGAGTTTATTTCATCATTTGAGGAACCAAGACGCAACCCTTCCCTTTAACTGAAGCATCTAGCAACGTAAAAGTATGACGCCTGCATCATGATTACTAAAGGGATGGCTTAAGTTTAACAATTTTATAACGTCATATTTCAGTGTTTCTGCTCAAGGTCAATTTTAATTGTCTGCATAAAAAGTATAAAATTTAGCAAACATATTTTTTGTGTGTTGGCTCAATACCTATTACGGCATTTTGATATGTTTGAGACCGGCATTAATTGGAAAATGATTCTAAAAAAAAAGAGCTACTTATATTGATTAATTATAATATACATTAAAGTCTTCTTTAGTAGCTTAATAACATATGATCCTCGACTGCAAGTCATTTTAAGGGGGGTGATTTTCGGTTACTAATGTAGTCTTCAAAAACAAATTAATCTTTTCGTAATTACTATCAGAAAAAAAGTTTGAAATATAGTTACTAATATGAACTTCCTTAGACCATGTATTGAGTGATACGATACTGATGCAAAAATATACAGTTCATTTTATATTTTTTCCCCATTTTAATTAGGCTAATATCGCAACATTTGATTAAAAACGTGTCCGTTAGGGTTAGATATTGAACGATAATATTTTTCAGGTTATTTCGTTTTTAATAATGAAAAATACGTTTCAAAGAAAGAAGTCAAAATACATCTTTATCTAAAAGATGCATGTAGTTTTATTTTGTTGTTTTACTGAATAATAACCGAGACGATATGTAAAAAATTTTTGAATCCTGGACAGATGAAAAATGCTCACATTTATATGACATTGATAAAAATATTAAAGTTCACACGCTCTCATACTTGTAATGTTTTAATACATATTGTATTGTCATTTTACTCTATGACGAAACCTTTTAGTCCAACTGATGAAATTGGTAATTCATTTCTGTAATGTATATTGATGTATCAAAGACATTTTAATACAAGTAATAAAGCCCCCAGTGGCACAGCGGTATGTCCGCTAGAATTCGGGTTTCGATACCCGTGGTGGGC